CCGAATGCTCAATTACAATATTTTAGCTCTATGCAAATTTATGAGCATTTTCATTTCGATCAATTTACGTTGGCCACCATATTTTGTCTACATGCGTGTGTCTATGTGTGTGTGTGTGTGTGTGTGTGACTGACCGAATGTCTGTTTTATTTATGGCTTTTACGAGATGACCCAACGAATAAAAAAAAAAAATTTATTCATTGAAGTTTTTACAGTCAACTACACCTTTTCAATGTGGATAAAGATGAGCACGCTTACGCTTACTCTCCTTCTCCCTCACTCTCTTTCTCTCTCTCTCTCTCTCTCTCTCTCTCGCTTATTCTCTGTTTGCTTGCGCATAGTTTTTCTCTGTCCAACTCTTGTGCTGTTGTAATCATTCATACTTCATCAAGTTGACCGACTCTATGGCCCGGCTTGGCTTAGCTTAGCTCTCGTGCCGTGCCTTCCTTTCTTTCCGCCTGCCTGCGGTACGGCAGAGCCCGTTGGCTTCATTGCTATGCAAACTGCTCCCAATGGCTACGTTTAATGGTCAAGTGTGTAAAATTGCATAGCAAATCGTAGTCCGGTTTTAGCGATGGATGTGCCCATGTCCTTAGATAAACATCCTTTGCCTAGGACCCAAGCAAGAACCGTTCGCTTTTTGCTGTTGCTGCCTCTCTTACATATTGATGTGATTTACCACTTATGTCTTTGGGGCGTCCAACAGTTTACTGTGCAAATTGTTTGGAATTCAGTTTTGAATTAAGCATCCCTCATCTTCTCGTCCAGTCCGTTGGCTATGATACATGTGCCAAATGTGTAATGCCCGTTAGAGGAGTCAGTGGAAGGCAGAGAGAGTCCGAGGAGTCGGAGTCGTTAGCTTACGTGTTCAGCTTTTGCTCTTGACATGTGGCCCAATCGCCATTCAAAATATATATTTTCGAGGCCGCTAGCATCGATTTGATGGATTTTGAATATATTCTTGATATAACTTGCTGCTGACAGTCTCTTCCAGCACACCCACTTTTCATCAGGCCAGCAATTGTCCTACGTTGCGGAAGCTGTCCTGCTCCTGGACAGCTGAGTTGTTATAGTTGATTTCATTATAATTTCGATTTGCATAAGCAAATGTCTAAGCAACAACTCGGTGCTGCGGCCCGCCCCCTGCCCGCCAGCTGTTGTGCTGCCCAGTTGCGTCAAATTGAATCGCTCGGGATTTCCCTGACATCGTCAGGAGCGACAGTTCATCAGCAGCAGTTGAAGAAGGAACGGCTGGCCCATGCCGGGCGGTGGTGAGGGCATTCAACTGTTCGTCAAGTTACGACAGTGTATCAATTTTTGGTTTGGGCTGCCTTTAACCCGCCCGCCCCCTGCCAGCAATCGACCCACCTATTCTCTATTGCCAAGGAGCTGCTCACATTTCATTAGCTTGTCAACATTTGTGTAGCTCGGGCCATGTCTTTGACACTTCGGCCGGCGGCGTTGGTGGGGACTGGATGGGATAGGACAGCAAATTGAAGTTGCCATAGATTCTACATTGTTGCTACTGTTGTTGCCTTAAATAGTTAAACTGCTTAGCGAGGACTGCTGCTGCTGCTGCTGCTTCTGCTGCTGCTGCGTACACATCTTGCGATTTCCTCCATCGAAGCTCAAAAGCAGACTACGGTCATATGCTGTATTTAGCCAAGGACTTGTCAGGAGCGGCCGCTCCCTTTGGTTGCTATGCAAATCAATTTGCCTAGCGCGTTGCCGATGTGGCTATTTGTCTACTTTGTGTGGTTCAAGTTGCTGTAGCTGTAGCTGTAGCCGTGGCTGTTGCTGTTGCTGTTGCTTTGTGCTGTCTCATTTTGCTGTGCGAAATGTTACTTGGCAGGTTCATTAGTATCATCAACAGAGGCATCGGAGGCAGTAACAACAACAACAACAACAACAGCAACAGAAACAACAACCGCTTTGTTTAGTTAACTTTATTGAGTGTTTGAACTTTGATATCCAATTTTCTTAACTTCATCTGGCAGTGTGGCTGTCCGCTGCCCCGCCTCGTCTGGCCGTCTATTAGCCAGGCTCTCGACTACACTTAATTTGCTTTAATTGCCATAATTTAGGCAACGCTTTTGTTGTTGTTATTGTTGTTATTGGACTGCTTTGGTTTGTCCCATGCAAATTTAATTGACGCACACTTTTAAAGCTTATAAATTACTTGGCTTGCGTCAGCAGCTAGCAGCCAGCAGCAGCTAGCATCCCTGGTAACAAGGTACACAAAGAACAAATCCTTTGAACAAAGCAAACGCATGAATAGAAATCATAAATTTAGCTAGCAGCCATAAAAAAGGATACCAACCTACAGCTCCCCTCCCTCCAACACACATACACACACAATGTAAATTCTCCTTTGTGTGTGTGTGTGTGTGTGTGTGCTATCGATATGCCAAAATCTATACAAAGTGCTATACAAAGGCAACGACTTCCAGCAGGTGGGCCCGCCTACTCCAACCGCTGCTGGCTAGAAAAGAAAAAAAATACACGAAAAATCGCAGCACGTAGAGCACCATGAAATATGCTCAGATTGCTTGGCATTTTCCCTACACACATATGTTCACGTGTATGTGTGTGTGWGCTGCCATTTTATTTATTTTGCTGCCGTTTGCTTCATTGTCAAGCAGAGCAAATTTTATTAGGCAGTCGCCTTAAAGCATGCAACAGTTTTTGGCAACAAGCAGACAACAGCCAATTAGGCATAGGCTGAAGCAGAGGCTGAGGCAGAGGCAGCGACAGCGGCAGCAACTGGTTTCAACTCCTGTTGCGCCGTTGTTGGCTGTTGGCATCGTGCCAGCAAAGCTTTATTGTAGTTTAATAGGCGACGACGACGCCAATGCTGGCGACAGCGACGCGTCTGCCTGCGTTGCCTAGTGCCAGTGAAAAAGCCAGAGCCAAAGACGCTGCCGGCATTGGGCAGGAGGAGGCGCGGCATATTTGTAACTGCTCGACTTTTCACGCATTGCTTTCAAACCACTTAACGCAAATGATGTTGATATAGCGAAGGGCAACTTTTTGTTAGGCAGCTTTTGTTTTTGTTTTTTTTTTTTTTTTTTTATTTACCTTATTCCTTATTTTTGGCAAAACTTTGTGCATAAACACACACTTGCCATAACGTGGCACGCTCCACATTTGTGCTCTGGCTCGAGATTGTTGTTGTTCTTGCGCTACTTTCGCTTTTCCTAAGAGTAGGCAACAACAACAGCAACCACAACAACAACAGCAACAACAAAAACAACAACAACAACAACAACAGTGCTAGCGAGCTGCAAAGTCGTTGAGCGCTAAAAGCACCGCAAAATGTAACAGAAGAAAAAAAATTTGAAATTTTTCTACAACTTTTGCCCGCTGTTTGCGTGTGTGTGTGTGTGTGTGAGTGTTGTTAGAACAAGCTAATGTAAAAAAAATTTTGATGCTTTGAAAAACATTTGGCAAGCCAAAAATTGTAAAGAAAATAAAAACAAGAAACAAAAACAACAAGTAGAAGAAGCTGAGCCCGCATAGACAAGCTGAAAGCCGAACAGCGAACAGCGAATGGCATGAAAATTGTTGCGGTCGCTGTTCTTGTTAAACAAAATACACGATAGCGCATAAATAAAATCAAACAAAAAACCGAACCAACTCTCGTTCACATCATCAATGTCAGAAAGGTATCGGAGAGGGGTGTGTGGGGGGGTGCTAAAGATGTAGATGGCGGTTGGTGGTGGGGTGGCTCGCATTGTCGAGCTATGAGAACCCGCACATTATCGTCATCGTCATGGATCAGCCGCAATGCTGTAATTTTGTTATAGGCAATGCCACGTGTATGCCACTGTGTGTGTGTATGTGTGTGTGTGGGTGCACAACCTGGGCTGTCGTTTGGCAAGATAAATGTCTATTTAAATTGTCCCTGTTTCGCTATGTGCCTCGGCCGACTGCTCGGGGTCGTATCGTGCCACACACCGTGCCTCTCGCCTCTTGCCTCTTGCCTCGTGCCCCGTTTCATGGCAGGGCTTTGTGTCTAGCGGCATGCCGCCTGCTGCCACTTCACGAGCTCCTCTAGTTAAATCTTTATTGTTATCATAATTTGCTTTTATCCATGCTCAGGGCTTGTCACTGACTACCCCGGCAACCTGGGCCTAACCTACTTACAACAAGTCTATATATATAAATATATATGTACATATATCTACGTACATATATATTTTTATCGTAATTGTTTTCGTGCATCTTGTGTTTTCTTTTTTTTTTTTCTCCTGGCTCCCAATTTCGTTTGTCAAAAGCGGAAAGCGAAACGAAAGCAAAAGCGAAAGTGAAGAGCGACAAAATGGTGCGTAAATAGCATCAGGATCTCCGTTTCGCTCCGCTTGTTTAGCATCTGTGCTTTGCTTGCTTAGCAAATCAATAAAAGTAGATAATTGAGATTTCTTTAACAAGATTTTGGGTGTCATGATATTAAAATTATAAGTAGGCAGCACAGAGTAGGCAGCGGCATAAATTACTCATAATTTGATTGCAAGTGAGACCTTGAAAATGATACGCCTCGGGGCTGCAGACTAGCGACAAGCAATGTCTGCTAACGGTTTGGGAAATAGGCTCATTACGCGCTAAGAAAATGTCAAAATTCTGGAAATTTAATATTGTCAAAAAGAAAAAAAAAAGGAAAACAATTTACGTAAAAAATTAACAAAATAGGGAAAAACAACACATCATATAAATATGCTCATTAAAATTAAGATATTTTTAATTTGTATGACCTGTTTATAGAAATATTATTTATTTAATTTGTTGGCTTTTGCTCGTAAGCAAAACAAATATAATAATATTTACATATTAATGATTAAATTTTTGCATTTGATATTGTGTGCTCTTTAATTACATATACAAATATATGTATACATATAGGGATTTGATGTCCAGTTGTACACCTGTTTTTTCTAGACTTAAGCGCTCCATAATATTTGCAATAATTATTAATAAACTTCTCTTATTTACATCCATTTCAGGTAAGGATCGATGAACAATTACTATATAAATTTAATCATTGGGTAAGCCGCTATGCAAACATATCAAGTGTAAACATAGACCGCAAAAACTGTTTCTAGCCACACTGAATTGACAGCATCCAGCATCCATCCTGCCCCCGGATTGCGTACAGCAATTGTTGTGGGGCAGATCGTGTGCTGCATAATTGAATTTTAAATAAACTACCTCAAATAATGCACACACACACACACACAGAGAGAGACATATGAGCACACACACACACGCACACTCACGTAGTAAGACCCTTTGGCCAAAAGTGTCTGCTTTTTAACTGTAAATAAATTTCATCGAATTTTCTTGTGCTCCTTTCGCCTTTGAAGACGTTGATATCGTTGCGAGGCAACGCTGCTGCGCTCTGTGTGTTCAGCCGCATCCGGCGCCATAAAGTATGCAATTTTATTTTAGTGCACCCGGCCGGCACTTACCTGCCCGACTCGGTTACCTCCTCCTCCTCCTACCCCTGCTCCTGCTCGTTGCGCCTTCTCTCTACTCCTTTATTTGTTGCTTTAATGTTATAAAATATTTAAGTTTACATTTCTTACACACACGCTTCGCAACTTGATCCTGCCTCCTGTTTATGGCGCCGGCACAAGATTTGCCATGCTGTAACTAAATATATATATTTAAGTGTGTTTGTGTGTGTGTGCTTGTGGCTGTGTATGTTGTTGTTTTGGTCTCATTGCATTGCATGAGTTGCTGGCTGACCATTTTTATAACAGGATTTCCTAGCAGCATCTTAGCCGGGCAGCCAGTCAGCTCAACGGCTTGCCACTTGGCAGTGGCCCTACTGTCAGGAGTCAACCACATATTCGCACAGTCACATACACACACACACACACACACACACACACACACACACACACACACACACACACACACACACACACACACACACACACACACACACACACACACACACATGCGCACATGTGTTTGTTCAGCTTTAATATTTGTTTTGCCATTGTCGTCTCTGACCCCAACTGGCCTGCACACTGGCTATTTGTGCAGCACTTGAACCTGCCGCTATGATAAACTGCAATTTCATTTTTATCCGCAAATATAATTAACTGACAGCCAGACAGACAGACAGGCAGACAGGAGGGCAGCTGTGTGGAGTGCACTCTTCACTTACATTTTATTTAAAAGTTTAATAAGTCAAGCAAGTAATGTGCAGCCATTAGATAATTAATTTAACACTTATCAAACCCCCTTGCAGTCTCTTACAACTAATTGGCTTTCATTTGCCAATTCAATCAGCAAAAAATAAAAAAAAAAAGAGAAAAATTGAGCAAAAATAAAAAGAAAGGAAAGACATGCTTCAGAGACAGACGAAGTCGACAGACGGCGGACGGCGGACAGACTTAAGTGGAAAGTCAAAGTAAAACTGAAAGCAAACGAGCAGAGAGTTATCAGCTGTTGGCTCTTCGTGCCCGACTCCTGCCAAGTCATTAATGCTATTTGCGGCACATTTAGGGTTGAACTTGGCACCGTTTAGTTCAGTCCGAGGCCAGAGCTTCTGACCTTAACACAAAACGCTCCAATGAACCGGTCAAATGGTCAAATGGTCAAAAGGTCGGACAGGTGGAGTATGCTGTGGCTGTGGCTAAATCACGGAAGCTGGGCAAATTAATGTGGCTGGTAAAAAGGGTAATTTCTGTAGCCAGAAAAATAGACGCAAAGTTAAACGAGCCAACGTAAATGACCAAAAGCCATATACCCTGGAAACTTTTTTCATTTTTCTTTATTTTATCCGAACAGCTACATTAACAAATAGGCAACCCTTTAAAAAACTTTGCAGAATTTCTAAAAAAAAAAAAAGTAAACTTGTTGCGTATTCGAAATGGTGTGAGTTGAGCTCAAAAGCGAAAATAGACAGGGAAAAATATCTGCCTACCTTTGCTTTCATTTAGCTTATATTTTTATTTCGCTTAGGAACTGGTGCCATTCATTAAGAACGTAGCAAAGGCCTGTSAAAAACAACAACAACAACAACAGCAAAGTAAAATAGGCGAAAAGGTAGCCAAGTTACTAAAACACAAAGGGGCGCTAGAAGCGCGTTTCGCGGCGCCGTTTGGTATTAAACTCATTAACGATAATTGCAGTGGTGCGCCGGCTTTTGAAAAAATTAGATTCTGTTAATTAATTTYCGCATGTAGCTACAACAACAACAACAGCAGCAACAGCTGAAAAATCTCGTTAGCACTAACATTCGTCAATGTGGGCAGGAGCTGAGCTTGTTGTTGTCAATCAGCAAATGCGAGTTCTTCGACGCATCCTTGCAGCCATTGATGCTGCTGTGCTTGTCACTTTGACTTTTGGCGCTTTTCAATTACACCGCACAAAAAGTAGTAGAAGAAGAAGAAGAAGGAGCAGCAGAAGAAAGAAAAAAGTCAGAGGGGAGCTAGCGAAAAAGAATGAAAAAGCCAAACACCGCACCGACATAGCATCCTGTTGCTGACACTGATTGTCGATGCTGGCGGTGCTCAGTTCGCGTAACGGGCGCATAATTTGTCCTGCGGCCAAATGTTCTATTATCTGTGCTGTGCGTTTGTATGTGTGTGTGTTTTACTTGTGCGTAGAAATAATATCCATCAGGGAAGCGCACTCAAAAGATGCCTCAGATACGAGCCGCAGGCATTTAACTGAATTTGAGTGGAAAATAAAAGCAAAGTAAATCGAAACCAAACGCCGCTATAAAGGAGCGCTGCTTCTGCTGCTGCTCGTGCTGCTGCTCCTGCTGCCTGTAGACAGGCCCTAATCAGCATGTACATCAGTTGGTGCGACCCTTCCGGACACTCCACTTTTCACATCAGCTTATTTTGTTGCTGTCTGCTTGCCACAGGCTTTGGTCAGTGCAGCTTAGTGAAAAGCAACAGAAAAACAAAAAAAAAAAAAAAAAAGAGAAATATACCCTTCATTCCAATTGTAATCAAGTTAATTGCAGCCAAGTGTGTGTGGAGCGAGCGAGAGCGGAGAGTAGGAAGAAGTGTGTGCGATAGAGCTCGCATAATTGTGAGTAATTGTTGTTAATATAATAAGGTAGGACAAAAAGGACACATGCATAACGGCCAAAAGCACGCAACGATATTATAAAAGCACAAACACTGAAAAAATTACAAGACAAAAAAAAAAATAAATAAATAAAATAGAAGAAAACAAAATAAAATAAAATACTAAAAGCACAACAACATTAGGCTTTCGCTCTGTCATAGGCAAAGCTGAAAATTGATATTAATTTTTCTTTTTGCTGCGCTACGCGTGGAATGCCCATAAACCAAGAAAAAGGCAGTTAGCTGTCTCTGTGTGAGTGTGTGTGTGTGTGTTAGTATGGGGCATAGACTTAAAAAAACCAACAACAAATTTTTTGTTCCTATTTTGTGTCTTTGCACCGCAGCGTCAAAGTTGGCTGTTGTCATTAGGGCTATGCCAGCCAGAAAATATCAAATTAATTAGTTGCTCTTTGTCGTCACGCTTCTGCAATATGACGAACTTTGAATAAATAAAATGGCAGCAAAATTAATAATGCTAAGTATTGTCAGCAATTAGAATTTAAGTAGGAAGAGGAGCTTAGCACAGGCGGGAAAAATATGTTGAGAGTCATCAATTGAAACTCGATTTGTGGCTGAATTTATTTATTTGAATTGATTATTTTTGAATTATTATTATGTATTTGAGTTCTTACATTTTTGTCATAAATATTTGATGTCTGATATGTGATAAACTATTTTATATTAATATTATGTTAACAATTTTTTTTTAATATTTACTGCTATTTTTATGAATTGCAAAAATTACCTTTTTTCACTATCTTTCTCATTTCTAAAAGGGGGGATTAGTCCTTAAATAGATCTATTTTGCTATATAATATCTTCATTAATTGTAATTAGTTTATTCATTTTATTGTAATAATATAAAGAGTGAATATAATCTAATAAAATAGTTTAGCTATGCACAAGCTAATTCCTTTGTAATACTACAATAATAAATATAATATTGCAATAATATATTCATATTATTATTGTAATAAGAGCGTAATAAAAAAGTTTAACTATTAACCAATTATCCATTTATCATCTAGAATATTCACTCAACTCTTAAACATTTTCCTTATTTGTCCTATTTTTAACTCTCATTTGATTCATCTCATTCTCCGCATTTCCGAGTGGATGCAATGTTTGCTCAAGCGATGCTAGACTAATTAGTTGTTTGTTTTTGGTGCATCTAGTGTGTGGCACTTGTAATTTATATTGTTGGCCAAGTAATTATAAATATATTACTCTCCACTCTGCATACTGTCTCTGCTCTGCTGTGCCCCTCTGCCAAGGGCCACTTAATTATAACTGTATTTGCTTAGAAGCGTTCTTTATAGGCTCCTTGATTTATGTCGGCCAGCGCCCACTTCAGACTTCAGTCGACAGTTTAGCAAGTTCTGCGGCGCAAGCTGTTTATCAAGTTGAAGTTGGCAACAACATCTTGGGCCAATTGTCATGTAAAGCCAGATAGAGCCCACAGAGTATAAGCACAAATGTAAATAGAAAATATAGAGCCAGGCATCATTTTGTCGTGTCGTCTGCTCGGCTCTGTCTGGCCAGGCCAAGGACAGCTGAACAAGTGGCCGCAGGATATGTGCCTTGGCTTTGTCTTTTGGCTTTCGCCTTTACCTTTTGCTTTAGCTAAACGCTTGAATGGCTTAATTATATTTAGTTTTTGTAATTAACCGTAAATCACAAGTTGCCCGGGCATAATTAGATTTCCACGGCGCACAAAAGTACGCAGCAAGTATTGTTGTCTCTCATTTGTTTTGCTTATGGCTTGCAACAAAACAGCACAAAGAGCGAATGAGAATCTGTTCATTGTTTCAACTTTTGTTGGCTGCTTAATAAAATTTAACAGCTGCAACGACGCGCAGCATTAAAACCAAGCAAACTATTTCAAAGCACACAGAAAAAAACAAAGAAAAAAAATACAACTCAAACAAAATTGTGATAAAGAAATGCAAAAA